GGGCTTGGTTCATGTTTTTGTTTCGACAAGCATAGAGAAGCAGACCATCGCCATGAAAAGATTTTCTCCACCATCGCGCGCGACCTTGCTGACCGTGACCCGGGGATGAAACGAGCGTTGGCGGATGCAGTCAAGGATGCAAACTCGCTCAAGAACACCACGGACATTATCCAGCAGTGGCGCAAGCTTCTGATGAACCCGCTAAGGAAGTTTTCTGCGTCAAGTGTAGGGCCTGTCTTGGTCGTGATTGAGGCATTGGATGAGAGTGGCGGAATAGAGACCCGGCGTAATCTTCTGCGCATACTTGCCGGTAGACTTCAGGACAAAGGACTTCCCCAAATCACCGAACTCCCGTCCAACTTTCGGATTCTTGTCACCTCTCGCCCGCTTCACGATATCGAAAAGGAATTTGAAGGTGCTGGTCACATTCTACGGTTGTCCATGGACGATATTCCATCACCAGTCGTGGAGCGCGACATTTATGCCTTCGTATCCGAGGAGCTAAAAGAGCTACCAGAGTTTCAGTTCACACATCTTGCAGCCCTCGCTGCAAAAGCCGATGGACTCTTCGAGTGGGCGTGTCTAGCCTGCAGATACATCAAAGATACCCCTGCCGGTGTGCGTAAAATGCCTCGCTTCGATGCTGTCATGAACCGCAGTGCAGGGAAGCAGAAAAACCTGTTGCATGATATCTATCAGACCATTTTGAAAGAAATTATGAACAGGGATCAATACGACGATGACGAGTACGAAGAAGCACTAGCAGGGTTTCGTTCCGTGATGGGACAGATACTTGGTACAGCTGAACCGCTCCCTTTCGACTCCCTCAATGCCATGCGGAGCTACTTTCCAGACCGAAGCAAACATGACAACATGGACATTATAAAACATATGGGATCCCTGCTCAGCGGCACCACTAACTCATGTTCCGTCATCCGACCTCTTCATGCATCCTTCCGCGACTTCCTGACAGACAAATCATCCAGCGGAGACTTTTTCGTCGAGGTATCCGACGTACAACGGGACCTTGCTTTTGCATCACTTCGAGTGATGGAACATGGCCTTTGCTTCAACATATGTAATCTAAAGTCTTCGTACATCCCTAATTCCCAAGACACCGAGCTGCCTCAACGAGTCAAAACATGCGTCCCCCCACATCTGTCCTATTCTTGTCGATTTTGGGCTGAGCACGTACAAGCAACGGACTTCGACACGGAGCTCGCTAATGCAATGAGATCATTATTCGACGACGAGCGGCTACTCTTCTGGTTTGAAGCACTCGGCCTTCTCAATGCAATCAGCGGCACAGTAACGGTGCTTCCCCGCGTTGCTCTGTGGCTGAAGGTGAGTACATGCCTACAAGTCAACGTCGGATGAACTGCTCACAAACACAAACTACAGGGCCATTCTGAATACGAAGATATGTGGTCCACCATAATGGATGTGCAGAAATTCCTCCAAGTCTTTGGTGGCATGATATTGGACAGCACGCCGCATTTGTATCTATCAGCACCCATCAAGTCCACCATAGCTACCACATTTGCGGCAAGATTTTCAAATAGCTTCTGTCTGGAATCCGGCCGTGATTTGAACGGGACGGCTGTTCAGAAGGTGATCAGCGAGCACACTGATCGGGTTAGGTCGGCCTCAATCTCGCTGGATGGCACTCGCATCGTGTCTGGTTCAGGCGATCACAATGTGGAGCTGTGGGACGCGGCAACGGGGCAGCCATTGAGTGAGCTCTTCCAGGAGCACGCTGAAGTGGTCCACTCAGTCTCATTCTCACCGGATGGTACTTGCATCGTATCTAGTTCGGGGGATAAGACTGTGGAGCTGTGGGATGCAGCGACGGGACAATCCTGTCCCGCCTGTCCCGTTCTCACCAGATGGTATTCGCATCGTATCTGGTTCGGACGATCACGCCGTCCGGCTGTGGGATGAAGTAGCGGGGCAGCCATTGGGTGCGCCCTTTCAGGGGCACACTGATCGGGTTTGCTCAGTCTCTTTCTCACCGGATGGGACTCGCATCGCATCTAGCTCGAAAGATCACACTGTGCGGCTATGGGATGCAGCGACTGTCACTTACTTGGTTGCGATTCTCATACTTAAGATAACAGAACTCCGTCGTCGCACCTCAGTCTCTCTTACCATTGACTGAAGTGCGTATATTATTTCTACTCTACACTACATGATGTTTACTGGTACTTTACCTCTAGGCTCGCGCTACTAGATTCGTACTACAGGAATAATCAGTCTCTCTTACCATTGGCCGAGGCTCGCGCTCCCAGCACTTACTTTATCATCTGGGCCCTTCCAGGGTACGCTGAAGCGGTTTGCTCGGTCTCGTTCTTACCGGACGGTACTTCCATCGCGTCTCTTCAAAAGATCACACTGTGTGGCTGTGGAATCAAGTGACGGGCCAGCTATTGGATGAGCCCTTACTGAGGGACACACTGTAGAGGTTTTATTAGTCTCGTTCTCACCAGATGAGGCTCGGACTCGCACCGTGTCCGGTTCGCGCGATCACACTGCGGCTGTGGAGTAAATTGACTGGGCATTTATTGAGTCAGTACTTTCGGGGGCACACTGATGCTGTTCGCTCAGTCTCGTTCTCGGTGGATGGTATTCGAATTGTGGTACACCCACCCATCCTCCTATGTATCCTCCCATGTAAGTCGCACCATACTTTACACGCCGGAGAGCCCTGATACCTGGAACAATTACTTTGTTTACTTCTCGTAAATGCATGTAGTTCCATTCTATTTCTTCGGAGAATTCCTACCACCTTCAAACTTGCCTAGCCCACCATCGTGTAGATGATGCTTTGCCTTTTATCGTAGATGTTCCTTATGCACGTGGTAGAAAGGTGCGCCAACTACATTTTTATTGCTGTTTGCGATGTCTCATACGTGGATTTGCAGCTGCTGCTCACAGCCACGATGATGACTGGGTACATGATGAAAGTTATGACCCTGCTTTGCTTGACCTCCACTCACACGAACCGTCTGCATCGATCCAGATCAAAACCGATGAGTATGTAAGTGGCCTTCTGCTATGATTCTTGACTTGCTATCAAACTTGTAGCACAAGCGCTTGTCGTGTCGAGGAGTTCTTGATTTAATTTGGTTTGATTCCTTTCTTTCGGTGTAGGTCATCGTGAATGATCGGTTCCTTCGTATTAACTCGAGCATGGCGCATTGCATACATCGCAGTATATTTAACTTTGCGAATGACATGTAAGATGAGCCAGTGTAAACGAAGAATACAGGATGGGGTGTCTGTCATAGCATTTGTGAGGTTTACGACAAATGAGACTGATCAGATTATTACCGCGCTCGCTAGTATCATCTTCTAGCTGTGTTATCAAACTTACGGTGAAGGAACAGGTAGGTTTGAGTCCGGGCCGATAAGGAGCAGTTAAAAAAGGACATGCTGTATAACACAGCCATGAAGACAGGGAGATATAAAGAGATTCACACACCATCAAACGATCGCTCTTCAAGCCGTTGCTCGCATCCTGGTAACGTGAATACCCTCCATCTGAGCATCCTGCGCTGATGAACTGATGATTGGTTCAACCAGGGAAAGTGCAGCGGTTCTCGACACTGTAACACTCGCTTGGCAACGTCAGGCCTTCCGCACACGAGGACGACTCACTGAACATAATCGTCATACTTACCAACCTGTCTGCGGATACAACCGTCATGGCTTCCAGCTCGAAACGGCCCGGTAAAGCAGCAAACAAATCGAATCTGACGCCTGTGATGACCTTGGAGGGTCATGAACCACATGTTTATATCTGGCCGGATGGCAGGCATCACGAGTCGAAATATGTTTCATCCATTTCCTATTTGCTCGACGGCAAGCAAATGATCAGCGGATCACAGGATAAGACCATTCGGCGATGGGACCTGCGGGAGGGTAAGGAAATTGAGGAAGCTCGGGAGGTTTGTGAGGATGGTGTGGAAACAGTGGAAGTATCAAGGAATGGTCAATGGGTTGTCACTGGTGGTGGGAAGCTCAAAGTTCGTGAGGTTGAGACGGGGAACGTGAGAACATTTTATGATGGATTGGACTATGTTTGGTCCATTGACATCTCCGGGGACAGCACGCTGCTAGCCGGTTTCATTCTCATCTCCACGGACACATCGTTCGGTTTTATCGTGCTGATATGGAGGTTGGACACGGGCGAACTCCTGGCTGGTCCATTCGAAATTAGTAATGATTATTATTTCAACCCGGGCCCGGGACTTCGATTCTCAAACAACTCGAAGAAGCTGGCGGTGTTGTCACACGCGCGGTGCCTTCAAGTGTGGGACGTCCAAACACAGAAATTGGATGTCACTAGAAGTATATCTACTCAACGCTATTCTTGGCCTGAGCCGGTTTTCTGGACAACCAAAGACAAATCCATTGTTGCCGCATTCAGCTTCAAGGATGACGACACTCCGATCTATGAATTTGACGCGTCGACGTTGGAGATTATCGGAGATTCCTTCAAAGGGCACGCCAACTCAATTCACGGCTTATCACTCTCATTTGATTGTGCCCTTCTCGCCAGTGCTTCTCTCGATGGCACCACCAAGCTCTGGTCCTTCGAGTCTCGCCAGCTACTCGCTTCATTCGACATCCACAGACCCTTCACCCTCATCCTCTCGCCTGATTCACGCCAACTGGCTTACACTACCTTTGAGGATAGCAATATATATATATGCAACATTCCACTCAACATCCTCGCTAGTGTACGTATTCACCCGCATACATTCATCAGTCATGTGCTAAAATTTCTTACAGATCAGTAAACCCGAACGTCAACGCCTCGCCGATAAGCTACTCAACGTACGTGGTCCTGCTATTTTTCTCCTTTACACCACACCATCCCTTATTACAGTCCGACGCAACTCGTCGCCGTAAACCAGTGATATTGCCTGTTATATCTCCTATCCCCCGCCCGCCAAGACCTCCACCTACAAGGAACACACTTTTCCCCCGCTTTCTACGCAAACTCCTGCCCTCCTTCCATCCGGACGCTGTTCGTCCTATTCGGAATGACGAGCTTCGTAATCCCCTGGATGTATGTTTCCTTTATCTGTTTGCTTCAGTACAATTGACTCGACGGCCCGCTTGCAGTTTCCTGCTACAGCGCCCTTACCTCGTTCACATATAAATCTATACGATGACGTGAGTGAGGACTGCCATATTCACATATTCGACTCATATTTCATTTTCTAGTCCCGGCCCCCACCAGTACCACCCACCACCCAATCCTGGTGGCCCATTCGGACAGGTCGGGCATCACCGGCTATTGTCGAGGTCCCTCTCGCACAGGGTAAAGAGGTTCGCGCAGTTCATTTTCACTGACTGTTTGCTAGATCTCACGCACCCGTTTACAGCGGAATGCTTCAGCAGATGCTCCTGCCAAAGACGATGAATGGATTCGTGACGAAGATTATGTTTCTCCTCCTCCTTCACCGAATCCCGATTCACAACGACCACCCACAGTAGCGCAGATTGATACTGGAGAGCACGGAAGCGGTCGGTTGTGTTTCTGCTGTTAGACTGACTTTTCCAATGGTATTGTAATGACATCACGGACGATGATTAGGGTTGTAGAGTGTATTTTTACAGGCATTAGGGTGTATATCCATTTGCTGGTGATTTAGCTTGCTGAGCGGTACTATGATGTGTGATCAGTTTGTCACAGTCGCAGACGATGATCGTCCTTACTAACGAAGTAGGACGCAAAAGCTCCCAGTGATGAAGTGCTTCGTGCTGGTCCAGCCAATGCAGAAATTTCAATTTGAGGATGAAACAGTATGATGTTGACACAAACTAACTACGAACTTGGCGTACGCAGTGTTCAAGACCACAAGAATAGCTTCAAATGATCTATTTAACATCCTGGCTGGGCAAAGGGTTGCCTCGTAACCAGCGTGGTAGCGAGCCAATCAACGTATATGTACATTCATACGCAAAGATAGCGCTAGGCAAACTTTCTACTGCATCGAAGGTGCGTTCTTTTTTCCCCTGGAGTTCTGCCTCCCGCTGAGAAGGTCATGGTTCTGTGTAGATCATTCTTGCTCAAGCGGAGCGTGTCACATTGATCCGTCGTCTTCTCAAGAAACCAGATGAAATACTAGTACACGACTTTATTATCCAAGGTAGCGGGCTTTCCGGTGTTGAATTGATGCACGACGTCATTGGAAAGATCGCTCAGCAGACTCTCGAATGTGCCCGCTTGATCGATCATCGCTCGTGGGATCATACTGGACATGCCCGCTGGTGGGTATAGAAAGCGAAATTTGAAACAGAGACCGAGGAACAAAGGAGATTGAATGCGCAAATAATACAAATACCTGCTGGTGGGAAATGGACGCGGTCCACCTGTGAGCTGAAAATGCGTTTGAAAATTGGTTATGAAGCGTCCATGATTCGCACCGGCACCTGTGCTCGGTGGAGAGGTATCCTTCGCTGGCCTCGCATATCATGGAACGCAACCCCTCGCTCCAGCAACCTGGATAATTCTGATGCCGTCCATGAGCTTGAAGGGTCACCAACAGAACGTTTGATTCCTATCCTACTCTCCGTATGACCGGTAAATGCTCAGTGAATCTGACATGAGAAGACCGTTTGGCGATGGGATCTTCAGGCGGGTTTTTGAGGATATTGATGAGGGAGAGCACGTTTGGGGTGGCAAGGGACGGGTTATCACTTGTTCCTTACGCACATGGTAGAGAGGTGCGTTATATCACTGTTTGTGATGTCTCATTCGTGGATTTGCAGCGCAACGATGTAACTGGTGCTCACATGAAGGTTACGACCCTCCCTCGCCAGTCTGCATGGACACTTTTGGTTCATCAAAATAGCCTTCTGATCGGGTGTCATCGATGTCATCTTCGGCAATGCCACAAAAAAAAACTGATGACGGTAGAACTCGTGTCACTTATTTCTCCCAATATGTTTCGGAATCGAACTTAAAATCAAAAGTGCCTCCAAAGGAGTCCAGCTGTGACTTTGTAACGAACTCAAGTCATATCTCATGTAAAGGACAAAAATACCATAAAGTCATGCTCCTACGCAGATACATGATATAACGCTCCTTGTCCCAGGTGGCAGGACCAAGAACGGTAAGATGCCGTTAGAAAATAAGCGACATCGGCGAGAGGTTTGCGACAAAGGGTTGTTGCGAGGCGTCGTGGTCCTGTAGTCCACGAGGATAACCAGCAACTCTTGTCCTGGGGGAATCAAGTCATTTGCACGGTCCTTGCACTCCTACGAGTTGATGTTGAATGAGAGGACAAAGGTCGTGCAGCTACCAGACGAGGTGTCTTAACTGCCTAGGATTGGTTTCGGTATCTTTGCGACCAGGGCGCATATAGATGATGGGCCTGCCCTCTTTATCGAAACCATTTGAGAGGCTGTGTTCCCTCTGGTTTAGTTTGATGTGGGGAAGGAGCTACATATACGACGACTCAGGTAACAGTTGACAGAAAGAAAAGTTCCACACCTCGCATAATGCCTTGGTTTGAGAGTTTTGCTCGTCAGAGTACTAGTATATGGGCCGTACCATACAGTACCTGGCTCTTGGGTAGAAAGGACAGCTTTAGTCCCGGTCATATGAAGACTTCAGTGAATGCTCAACAAACTTCCGAGTGGTCCTCGGATGCTCGACAACGGGCGAGCGGAGCTTGAAAACCGGTTGACCTGCCGATCCGCCCCTAGGACTCTTTACCTCCTAAAATTGTACAAGTCGAAGTCTTTTCTTCTTTTACAACCATGATGACGGCGACTGGATTCTTGTCGCTTCCTATCGAGCTCATATATTACATCCTGATCCTCTCCTTACCCTGAGGGATGTTAGTCGTTGTGCCGTGGTCCGCTATTTCTCGCGGTTCTGTGTTTCCTCCTGGGCTAACTTTTGGTTATGCTAGACCTGCAAATTTTTTTCGGGCGTGGTCCGGAATTCTGTTGACATCCAATACAAGCTTGAACTTTATGCTCAAGGCCTCATTAGTACTCAGATTGCTACCATGGACTCCGAGTCCTTCGGCATTTCCTCAAAGATGTGCTCACTCAAGAAATTGGCATCTTTGTGGCGGTCTGACTTCCCTGCGAACATTGTTTTTGAAACATCGTTCTATGCTGCCGAGCCATTATATTCAATGCCCGCGAAATACATACCACCGATTCAATCATTGAAATGTGGGCTTTGGTGGGGGAAAATGCACGATTTCGTCATTCGTGACTGTAACACGAATCCCAAACTCTCCCAGACTTGGTCTAAGGATGATTTATTTCCTCAATCTTTGCTTCTGGGCCTTTTTACCTTCGACCCTCTGCAGGATCTTATGGCCCTATTACCTTGGCCTCATAGTTTCACTGTGACCGATGCCGGACAAGACCACCGCGCCTCTCTAGTGGAGTTTCGGCTGGCTTCATCCCAGCGTCCGCATCTGAGTGCTGGTTGAGTGCAAACAAACTTTTGATGCACCTGGTGATTATTTTGCTCGTTTTGAAAGAGAGCCTGAAATCTGCGGTGATCGTGTGTTTGTCTTCTATCACATAGTGGAAACAGATGAGACACCATTGCCTGGCATGTTCATACAAGTCATTGATTGGAGGAGGGGACACGCGAGTAATGTAAGTTCCTTTTTTTTTTTTTTGAAAATTTTGTTGCTCAGTGTAAGCAGCACATTTTCCGTCAACCAGGTCCCCTCGAGGAAATTCATATACGTGTAGTTGACGAACAGAAGATTGTTTTCGTCAGCTCAGAAGGCTTCATGTCCTTGTATACGTTGCAAGGGCTTGATGGGTCGCCTCAGTGCCGAATTACATGTTGTCTTCCTAAGAGCAGCCATACATTCTTTCCACAGATGTTTGTTCATGTCCCCTTATCATTCCATGGCACAGCGGCTCGCCCAGAACTTATGCCCCATTACGTGCCCTCCCTGGAGTCACAAATCATGGTTTTAGAGGCTCGTTCTTCAGCAGGGAGCGTTATCCTAGTCATCGACATGGTCATCGTCTCTGACTTGGCTTTGCACTCCGAGTCAGAGATGCCCATCGACATTCCCTGGTCGGATTGGGGACCTCAGTACACGCACTGCTTTCCGCATCACGAGAGCCACCAAATCAGCGTGTTCGGCAGCAAAATGGCCTATGCTCTTCCCCAAGATTGTATTCCCGAGCCTGGTCAAAGACTGGAACAACTCGAGGATTACTTCTACGTGCACATTTGGGACTTCAATAAACGAACTACAGCTCGTTTGGAAAGTTTCGACGATCCCGACTCACTAGATCTTCGCATTTGCAAGCCGGGTCGGGTAGCTCAGTCGTGCTTCGTTGAAGACACTATCTTCTCGAATCGTGCTTACACTGCGGTCGTCTGTCATACACATTTTTCGGACTCACGTGGCTTCAATTTATTGTTGGAACAAGATCGGCTTACTGTGACGTGGGTATGTGTCCTTTATTATGAATACAGCGATGATTTGATGTAACGAAATTGTAGGTTCAATATGGCGAGGTTGATATCCAGGTCATTTCCCCCGTCCCGACAGGGGGTGGCACGGACCTCTATCTCTCTTCATTGCCAGCTGAAGAACGTGCACCCGTTAAACGTCGCAGGGCTTCAAAAAGAGTCCAGAGGAGGAAGAAAAGAAATAGTCAAGCTACGTGACCTTTGGTTGAATTTAAGTGCTCCCTGTCTGTCTTAATCGCCGCTAAAGTTTGTGACTGTCTCAAAAGATGTATTCGTCGTTGTATTTCGTATAATTGAACCCATCAGCATTAATGTAATATCACAGCCGTCGTCTTTTATGTGATGCCACCAACGCTTATGCATGCATGCGGGAGTGATCGACTCATACTCACTTCTGAAATCACTTGGGGGAGACAGTTGCCTGCCACGACTATTTCCTGAGGACAAAGAGAACGACAACATTCACCCAGGTTTCTTCGATGAATCGGTCTCCAGGAGGGAGGAGTACCACAGTACCGTCGACGTTGCATTGCTGAAATACGTTGAACGCACCGTTTATAGACATAGTAGCTGGTACTTCTTACACGACCATGTATCGATGCCCTGTTGATTACACTGGTGATCAATGCATAGTCCCAAAAACACGGGACAGTTATTAGTTCACATAAATCAAGTATTCATTCGGTCAGATGTTCCATCGCAGTGCGCACACAGATTCCACCATTAAGGTCATTGACGTCTTGCAAAATAGAGGCCTAGCGTAGCACATCTTTGCGGATATCTCTCTCATCCTTGGGTCGAGAAACCTCTGACAAATTCTACCAGTGCACTGCACGATGATATTAGATAAACGTATCTCCTAAATATTGTTTTAAAACAACTTACCGAACAGGACGCCCAGTCATTCCTGTCTCTTGGTATGGTGTTGGGCGCGTGAACTAGAATGAAGTCATCAGCAATCTGAACTAAAGATGGAGAGGATAAATGGCGCATTGCGAACAACGTCGTTGTTCAGATCGTAATTGTGCCCACGGCATTGTCCTGAACTAGATTTCGAATAAACGAGCAAGTTCTTACCTCCATAGTCCCAGCAATATCAAGGTGAGCCCATCGGACAGAGGGCTCTTGTCCATCCGTGGCCTCGATGCCATCCACGAACGCCTTAAGGAACAGTGCAGCAGTGCATGCACCTGCTGGTTTCCCACCCGTCTAAAAAAGAAAAGACAACGTCAAGTTTATGCAACGCTCGCATCAAGATAGGTGACTGACGTTGCACAAATCAGCGTTTGATGAGTAGATCTGTGGGCCGTAATCCTCGTCGAGGGGCATGCGCCAGAAGCGATCGTACTCGCTCTCTCCAGCAACCTTCAGGCGGTTCCAAAGAGCATCGGAGGTCTAATACCAGAGTTTGGTCAACGACGTGTCGGTGGGCAGCAATGAAATGACGTACCGTGAAAACACCGGTGTAGATCTCGCCCAGTGCTATATCCATAGCCCTATCGATCACAAAATAAATTCGAGCTGGCAAGTGCAAACGATGAATACAAACCCAGTGAGAGTGGCAACGTCGATGACCGTGTGCGGCTTGAACTCGGTTGATGCGTAGTACAACGCGTCTTTGAAAAAGTTAGAATTCGTCAGTGGATAGCAAGTGTACGCACCAGCTAGAACTAGACGGCCTTCAGCATCCGTGTTGTCGACTTCGACGGATTTGCCATTCATAGCGTAGATTCTGACAGAAGGTCAGTTTAAGAGATAAAAAACACTGTGCTATAACTCACATGTCGCCTGGCTTGGTAGCTTTTGGACCGGGTAAGTTCTCACAAAGCGGAGTGAAGGCGACAACATTGATTCTGCAACCAGGATACATAAGAATGGGCGCAGATCGAAGAGGACACCAGCGTACGGGAGTTGAAGCTGAGCGATGGCGAGTAGAGACGAAACGACTGTAGCCGCCCCGCCTATAATTCAGTTAGCATGGCCACTTTCAAAGTTAGTTCAACGGATTATACCCATGTCGCCGCGCATCAGTTTCATGCCCTATATACATTTAGATATGGTCAGCAAAACACCTCCAAGTTGAAGAGCGAAGGTCTTACTGCTGAAGGTTTCAAACTGATTCCTCCGCTGTCGAAAGTGATGCCCTTGCCCACGAAAGCAAGTGGTTGTGCGTCTTTTGAAGGGGCGCCCTTGTAGTGACTTTGATGGATGTTAGATTGTCAATGACACTGCAGAAAAAAAGGATAAAGCATGCATACATCTCGAGGAACTTGGCTGGTTCATCGGTCCCTTGAGTTACCGAGAGGAAAGTGCGCTTCATGAGAACATGTCAATATCGACCGTACATCGAGTGTAAAAATTATACCATGCCCTTTTCAGCCGCCCAAGCTGTTGAGGCATTAGTATATACATTAGAAGAACCTATAAAAATCCAACCTTCGTCACGAACAATAATCTCCACATTAGGGATGCCGCTGAATTCTGCTTGGACGCGCGCGCAGAATGCCTTGAAGTGATTTCAGTTCAACTACCCGAATAGCTCAAAGACGAACGTACAGTAGGAGTCATCATATTCGCGGGCAGTTCCATTAACTATGGAGGTTTGGTTATATTCTCCCACGCGGATCAAAAGGCCAGTCCATTCCATGAACTCACTGTTCTTGCAAGGTTCTGCGCATTCGCATAGATGACACCACGGTCCCAGTCAGCAGAGCTGACATTCGTGGAAATATCAAGTTTCTTCGGCACGCCAGAGGTGCCCCGTGGGTCGAACGCCGATGGAGGTGACGTTTTAAGCGAGAAGTTGTATAGCGCCAAGTGAGCAGCAACAGCTTGGGGAAGTACTTCAGATGAGGCAATGTGTAGATCAAAATATCTTACCAGCAGCATGAGGATCTATTGATCCATCGATAACAGCCTCGGAAACACCATCTCCAAGTCCCTTGACACTCTTTACACCACTGCCAACGGCCTTGCGGACGATCTCTCGTCTTACATCACCATTTTTGGAGTCAAACCCTTCACCAAGTGACACAAGTGCAGTTACATCGAGCACGGGAGTCCCATAAAAGAGGTGGGACGTGCCAACCTTCGCAGGTTTCTGCGTCTGAGGAAGTGAAGACCACAAGGTTGCTGGATCAACACCTGGAGCAACATTTCCTGCAGGATTCTTGGGGTCAATGGGCACGACATATGCTTTTGACGACATGGTTCGCAGTAGGACTGATGATCGATGGACTGCCGTTCTGGCAAGCATGTGCACTAATGTCATGTGTCTACGACAGCCTAGACTCTCAGAAACTTGTGCGTCGGGACTCGGAACCCGGAACCCGGAAGACCAAGTTGAGGGCATCCAGGAAATGGACACTCTGGGGCCAAAGTCCGGGGCGGACTCTGGGGCCAGAGTCTGGGGCGCGTGGTTGTTTCAGTCGGAGCTTGAATATCTTGCGGTTGACATACGTACCGCATAAGCAAATGTATGGCGGAGCGCTGCACTCAGGTGGGATGATGCGCCCATTGACATCATGGTTCACACATACTTCAAGGTGGCAAGCACGGGAATCAATGAATATTGCTACATAGGGCAAGTATGTAGGTGGCTCAGCACTGACAGATCAAGGTTTGTGCCCACTCAAATGGCCGAAGGTCAACAGCGGTCCAGCCGATGCCAGGAGAAATCGTTTGTAGGGTTTGTGCTATTAGTTGCAAGGCAGCTTCATTGGCCTGGACCTGCGCATAGATTTGCGTGAAATATTGCTGTAGTAGCGAGAGACGACAAGATCTCCCCAAGGAGGCTGCTGTAGATTGGAGTGACGGCAATGCCGATCATGACTTCATGACGAGCCTATAGACATAGGTTTAGCGGCCGTGTGGCATGCGTGGGTTGACGCTACACACAGTAGTATAGTGGACAGTGCTAGTGAGGTGCCAGTTTGCCTCGCGGCAGCCAGTTTATCAGTAGCGTTCGTCTCAACTAGGGAATATGAATGCTCAAAGATGCAACACGCACAGAGGGGTGACTTACCGACAAGAGCCAACCAAACTCGTTCATTGATGACCGCCTGCATCACGTCCTTGTAGTTCGCAAATATGGTAGGGTCGACTTGGCTCCAGCCCAACCGAGGTCCTGGCGTAGTATTGAATATTGTTGTTGATGGCTACCCATAGTGCAAGTCCAATGGTGTTGTTATCGCGATCGATGAACTGAGCGGCAAGATTGCTTGTTAGTCAGAATATGCTAGTGCAGCCCTAGCCAGTACCTGCAAATAGTACTTGTCGTGATGCAAGGCTTCGTGAGCGATGAAATTTAACCTCAGCTGGTCTCTGCCGGACTTGCCGATGGGCCCCATACTCTGGCCCCAGAGTCCGCCCCAGACTTTGGCCCCAGAGTGTCCAATTCCCTGACTTTCTGACCAAGTTAGAGGTAGCCTAAACACGTGATGGGCTGGGCTACAATGGCTTGCCGCTTCAAGTTGTCCACACCGTGCAACTTTGCGTGTAGCTTCATTATGTCGCCACAAGATTGTCCACAGGTGGCATCGTCGGCAGTGGACCAAGCTATTTTCCACAGTGGCTAAATTCCTATATAAGCTCTAGCTCACTTGATGTTCTCTTCCAATTGCACCCAGACTTACGACTTTGCTCCTCCAAATGTCCCCTGTTGTTGATACTCGATCTCGTACTACCTACAACCAACCGGCCGATACAGTTGTCAACTGCTCTGCAGCGACCGACAGTGCGCACACGAAGCGTACTCTCAGACGGTTCAAGAAAGAGGATGGTGTGATCTATCACATTCCGTCAAGTTCGAATCTAGCGAGCCTTTTCGCATCAGACGAGAGTGGCCCCATCTTGGAGAAACCCTCTACTCTCAACAGGAAGTCGTCTTCCGCATCGATTGACACAACCCGTCCCCTCCAAGTCCGAGCCGTTCGTCGACCCTTAAGCGCGTCTGAGACAGTGGCTCCTCACAAGACGACTTCTCAGCATACAGCCAAGAGCCCTATAGCATCTCCGACCAAGCCACCTTCAACGAAACCAGGCGCTCGCAAACTTCAACGGTCAGCGTCTTCTAGAGTGGAGGATAGTGCGGAACCGGACATCGAGAGCATTACTTCTCGCATTCTCCAGCGTTTCGCTATCTTTCAGGTTGCCTTCGATTTCGGCGATGTTGGAGAACTAGAGCCCGCCTCACAGGCTACAGTCGACGATACGCCGGCAAACTATGCCTTGGAAGATCTTATTATGAAGGTCCGCTGCCACGAACGCCACGTCACGACGTGGGACGCGCCCGAGAGGTGAGTTAATATACTACTATATGCCAGTGTCCTGTGCTCAATGTTTTTCAATCTCGTAGCGCGTTCTTCATCTTCCCAGCGCAACTCCTGATTGCATGTACCTCTACAAACGATTTCGATCCCCTGGTTGTTCCGGACGTCACAATCGCCCATCTCGTCTGCACCACAGTGGCAATAAATGGTTCCAACAAGTTCCACCGCCAAATCGCGTTCAGGACATTTTATGATGGGGCCACGATACGCTACGTGAATGATAGGCCTACGCCTGATCTGTCTCGAGGCATTCATATTGGGGATGTCCCATGGTGTTCTACCATGGACGGGGATGGTAATTTCGGGTGGTACATGCGCTTCTGGATTCCAATTCCCTTCGCACTGTTTCAGCGAGCGGAAACAAGGGCTTTCAAGATCGATGCCAGGGTACATGTTAATGGAGAAGATGGTAAAGAAGGGTTTATGAACTCTTCGAGCGATTTCACGTTGTCGAGGTTGATGAGAGGTGTGGCGATGTAAACAGAACTATATGAATTGTCGCCTTGTACTAACAACATGAACAAAGAGAAATAAATAGGATCAGCTCGGATCAAGCAAGGTGTAAGTCGGCATCGCCGACCCCTAGTATGAATTGTCGCCTTGTACTAATGACTGAAAGTTGACACTGGAAATCGTGAAATTTGTCTTAAATAAATGTGTTACACATTCTACAGTTTACGCTTGTGTACCTGCCATTTGCAGTTGCCACGGAATTCACTTCGCGAGTGACGCCTCTCCCAGGCTGCGATACGTAGAAATGGAGGCAGGGCTTCAGTGCCATTTGTGAGTATTTATTAAGCACAAGCTTATGACAGAGTCGCTTTGGAGTTGCTTACTTGCTTTTAATTTGTGCATAGAACAAAGGATCCAGCGGACTTCAAAACCATTCTTCTCCTCAACCAGCTCGAAAGCCACGAATGCTCAACACGCACAGGGCTGCTTCATGCATCCAAATTCCTGAGCGGGCTAAGGTCTGAGTATTCCAATCCTCCTCGATTGGCTCTAGCAGAGCCCAGCTGTAATCAGCTGCCCGACGTACCAGAAAAGTAGCTTCACTTTTCATATCCCGAAGATCCTGTGTATAGCGGAGGAGGGCGAAATTGAAAGCTTTGAAAGGCGTTGCGGGGATTGGGCGAACTGGTATACATTGTTGATAACCAGCCAGTCATCGCTATCGCGCCTTCACCTACCAACAAAGCGCTCACAAATGCTGTCGGGCGCCAACGCCTGATCCGCCTGCCTATGGTCTCTTCTTCTTCTTCTTCTGGTGAACGTTAACGTTTGCCCTCCATCGCTGTCCGGACCGGAGACTACAACTCCTTGCGTATGAGGTGCGGCGGCTGATTATGCTATTTTACAATGGGATTGGTTCGTCCTTGAGTTCACTTCGTGGCTCGCGTGTCCTTCGTGGATCGTGAATCTCGATTCAGACTACTCTCGGACTGGTTCATGTTCGAATTTTTTGCTTCTTGAACTCCTTTGCGGAGCGTCTTTATGAAGTATGATTTATGCTATCGGGTGTTGCCCAAGGACGATAGTCAAACAAGTATTGGAAATACATTTATTGACACAGGTCGATGGACAATTAATGTGTCTCCTACTTCATGTATACCATTTGGCATCGAATCAGACACGTCCGAGCAACGCGCTACTGTCCATCGGATCCGTGCGATGATCATGGGTGGCGTTCAAAGGTTGGTTGGGCCCTAGGCCTGATCGATGATCAGCTGTCTGAATGTGTACTTGGCTGCTGAAGCGGATGCAGAAAGTAAATGAGGGTATGGTGACTGGTGACGACGAGGGTCCTTCTCTATCTACTTATTATGTCTACTTGCATGGCTTGCTCACAGCGTGCAACTTTACGTGTTAGCCTCATGTAGTGGCCAAGCGATTTTACACAACAAAAATCCCTACATAAGCACACCTAGCTCAATGCATGTTTTGTAAGTAATCTCTTCCAGACCTACTACGACCAGTTGGTGCACTGAATGGGCCCTGCTACTGGTCCTCGATCTTGTGCTGGAGGTATCAGCTACTATCGACCTGATGACACAGTTACTAATATTCTACAGGGACTGACAGTGATCCGTGCCAATGCATGAAGCGCGCTTCCAGACGGTCAGGGAAAGAAGATCGTGCGGTCCACACTCCAACAAGTTCGGATCTAGCAGGCCTTTTTGCATTGAGCGATAGATCGGAGAACCCGCCTTCTCGTAACAGGAAGTCGTCATCTTCATCGATTGATGACACACTCCATGCCCTCCGAACCTTTCGTCAACTTTTCGGCGTATCCGAGATGGTCACAGCATCTCCAACCAAGTCGTCTTCAAGGAGGTCATCTGCTCGCAAACTGCAACGTTCACTGGCAGCGTCTTCTAGAGTGGAGGAAGCTGCAGAAACATCCATATTGCAGGCATTACTTTTTGGATTCTCCATTCCCTCCGATTCCAACAATGTTGCAAATAGAGAGCCTGACTTACAGGCAAAGGTCAACGATGCACCCAAAAAGTATCCTTTGCCATTGGAAGATATTTCTATGAAAGTTTGCTGCAACGAACGCCATGTCACGACATGGGATGAGCCCGACCAGTGAGTGAACCCTAGATGTTAGTTCAAGTCGTAGTGTGCTCAGTGCTTTCCAAATGCGTAGCTCGTTCTTCCTCTTCCCAGCGCAGCTCCTAATTGCATGTACCCCCATACGTGATTTCGACCCCCTGCTTGTTCCGGACGTCACTCTTGTCCATCTCGTCTGCAGTACAGTGGCAATAAGTGGCCCCTACAAGTCCCACAGTCAAATCTCGTTCAAGACGTTTTACGATGGCGCCACGATACGCTACGTGAAGGATACACCTACACCCGATGTGTCTCGAGGGATTCATATTGGGGAGGTCCCGTGGTGTTCTACCAAGGACGGAGATGATAATGTCGGGTGGTGCATGCGCTTCTGGATTCCAATCCCGTTCGCACTCTTTCAGCGAGCGGAGACGAGGACTTTCAAGATCGATGTCAGGGTACGTGTCAATGGAGAGGATGGTAAAGAAGGGTTTTTAAATGCTTCGAGTGATTTCACGTTGTCGAGGTTGCTGAGAGGTTTGGTGATGTAGATATAGGCCCCCTCGTCCCTTCCGGCGGGCCTTCTCAAACCGTACTCTATGGCATGAAGTATGCAGCATTACTAAAATCTCCCCGTCAAATGTACAGGTAAACAGCTAGTCCCGTCCGTAATCCAATAAGTATCTGAGTCGAGTCCCTGGTCTGAGCCTTAAATGTGACCGGTAGGGCGAAAGGTTGTCAGTGGCACCTTTCTGACCCAATAAGTTCAAGAAATCATAAATGGCGGTCAAGGAAGTAGCAGAACGATCAGCTCAACGCGCTACGATTATCACTGAACTGACGAATGCCTTCAAACATCGAAGTGGGTCGGTCGAGCAGAATATGGGTGGGCTCTGCGAATTCATGCAACACGGCAAGCTCACTACCGGACAGATGTAGTCACTGGGTCCGAATGGGATTTATCTCATTGTCTGCAGCTGAAAGACTTCATTGAAAGACACAATGTTGTAACCGGCGCCGCTTCTGAAGGCGTTGCTTGTACGTTGACAACGGATGGCGATACCGTAGAGGTATGACTCAATGGGTAGGACTATCTTTCTTCTATCACAGTTCTATCATTGTCCACACAACTACACAGTTCTGCATCTCCTCGGCGCCCACTTTCCGTCTGGTTGTCACGGTGCTAGCATGTCGGGCAAGCAATGATGCCGGCATTCACGGCAACTTCTGCAACCAGCTACAGACAAGCGCCCACACGTTTGTCTTTCACTAGCGAGCACGATAAGTAAACACATCCATCCCTGATCGTTTCGCGACCTCAGCCTTTCCGAACTTACAAATCCAAGCTTTGATTCCAATATTGTATGTCGTCCGGTCGCTCGAGATAACCATCGCTAAGATGATTTCTAACGGTATCGAACCCAGCCAGTAGTTTATTATTCCATTCCATCACATAATTTGTCTCCTATCCCTCTTGCTCTCTGACCTCATTGTCAGCGCTTCCATCCTTTGAAGGAACTTGGGCGAGGCTGTCCCAAGTTGCTGCCAAGGGTGCTGAATATAATTCCCGTGAACGCCAGCCCCACCCAAAATGTTTAGAAGGGACCCGGGTGGATCTCCTTAACTACATCCACGGATCACTGGACGACCCAGAGAAGAATCGGCTCATTTGGCTGCATGGCACGGCGGGCGATGGAAAGTCTGCTGTTGCGTTCACTGTAGTGAGTGGAACAGTATCGACAACTGGTGCCTTGACAGAGTTCGCCGTCGAAATTTCAGAAGTGCGGGCTCGAGAGTTGACGGTTCTGGCTGGGTCTCTGTTTGAACGATGTGCGTCCAATGCGTCCAGCCCAAGTCTTGTCCCTGACTTTTCGGTCATCACTGCAGAAATATTAGAGGACCTATGTGCACACGAGTCGGACGTAATGATTGTATTGCCTTTGTGTGCGGGAAAGTCAGAGACATCGAGATCATGGGTCACGTCACAGCTCAGTGGTTGTCCCCGGAAGGAAGACACGTCAGCGAAAACTAGAGGGGAAACCGGAGACGACTGCACAGTTGATATGGAGTGATTAGCTGAATTCAGCTTAGGAGATGATCGAGCAGGATAGATCCCTGGCTGTCCTGAAGAGAATGACGGGCTAATCATGGCGTAATACGACACTTGAGATTAGTGGAGACAATGACAAGGAACGGGAATCCGTACTCTTGCGAAGTGAAGTAGTGAGCGGTCTCGAAGGGAACATTAGTGGTGCTCGCTGTGGATGACTTTCCGGTGCTTCTGGAAGCAGAGACCGCGATCAGCTCCATAGCGATATCGAACATTGTAGAGAGAGAACCAGGGCTCGCAAACGTTTCTTCCCCTTCCGTGATGGGGGAGAGATCCTTGTTCGAATGCTTGAATGTTGTCTCCTGTAGCTAAGATAATCAGACATAGTCGTTGACTGACACGATGTCATACCTGTTGGTCCGGACTTAAGGAAGCATGTTGAATCGGTGATTGAAACGGAATGATGCTGGAAAATTGCTTGTCGTCTTATGCATGTGGTGTTTTCAATACACATAAGTCGTGATCAGGGCTCTTGACAGGCATTCAGCATTCGTACTCTGAACTGTGCTGAAGATCGACTCACCTTGGAGGAGAATTGTCTCCTTACGCGCCTCAGTCTATGTCGAGGCGTGGGTGTAGGACTCGTATCATGTATCTATGCAGCACAAAATCGATTTAGGTTTCCCAGCAACATATTCTTGTAGCTCACCATATTATCCTTGAGTCAGGGCGCAGTGATAGCCATCAAAACTCGGACAGAGGACAGCATGTATGCACACCTGATCCGACAGAGGACACATCTGAGAGTACACATTTTGTCGGACGCTGCTCGAGAGTGGGGAGCAATGATCAGCGAGAATATCATCAAAATTGAAATCTTGTTCATCTCAGATATTAAAGGAAGAAAACTGTAATGGTCATGCATAACTTAGTTTCAGACGAGTATGACAAAAATGAGTTATGTTTTACCGTGAATGATGTCTGTTGGACGTGTGGCTATGATTTTCTGGTCGTCGAGTTGTGCGACGTCCAAAGGATGTCTGGAACATGGTAATCTGCTGGGCGTCAGCGAAATAGTTGCTTGACTTTCAATTGATCGTCACCAGGTCTTTCTTAAGAAACCTTGAACAGAGGATCTGGAGGTGAAGGTGTTTTCTCGAAGGACTGCATCATGTTCAAGTCAGATCCAGTTTCTACACAACACCAAAGCACCGACAGGCTTGGGCTTGAGTACGAGCTTGAGGATCCGCCGCATGTCGGTGAGACCCATAACCACCAGGTATATATTACTGGCTAGCTGCAGCGGTGCAGGATGTGGTGAACTGATAAAGGGGTTATCGCAAGATCGCTCGGGGTTTGTTGAACTTGTGTGGCCCACTGGCAGCGCACAAGGAGTGCGGAAGTGTAGTAGATGACGGTCTGTTGGGACCAAAATTTAAACCCCGCTCGATGTTTGCAACGTTCTGAGGCGCAAGTCCCGCCAACATGCAGCCGCCGTTATTTGAATGTGTCAATATTAATGTCAACTAACTGCAGCTGAGTCTCCTCGTCCTCTGCCCGTTTTCTTGCCTAGATTTGGAAAGTTCTCGCTATTACTATTTTTGCCACTGGGCCTGAGTGAGCAGGCGTAGGTGAGAAATCGCACTTTCAGAGATGTCCCCAAAAGTGCTGAGTGCTGACTCCATGCAGACAACGCCCGCCTCGTTTTCCAATCTCATCGTGTCTGCACCAAGTTTGTTGATAATTCGTGGGCTGTGACCATATTAATTGACCGCTTCAAGGGCTACTCGCCTCGCTCAGCATCAACATAGCACTCCTTTTCATTACCCTAGGATAATCCGAACATTCTCAACTCCTCACTCAATCATTCACATGATCCTTGCAACGTCTCCAGCAATACTAATTGTGATGACTAGTATCACGTTTTTACATGTACAGACACGTCCAATCAATATCCCATTGCTCGAGCAAGTGAAAGCCATCAGGACCCGAGATGAACATCTACCTGTGGCGGTCATGCCCAGAACAGCGAATCCTCGTCTGTCTGGACACAGTGTTGAGGCTGCTGCGCGCATGACAGACAGTTGCCTTCTCGCGTGACATGTCTGACAGCAGTGGAATGGGGTTGAGGCCTGAGGGCGGTGACATTCAGATCATGCTTCGTGACATTCGAAAGTATGGAATGCTGTGCTGTTGTTGAGCCTCGCAGCCTCCTCGTGTCCGCTGCTTCAATCAATGGAACACCCACAACGTGCCTCTGCTGTACAAGGCTGATGTCCATTAGTGAACGCAGCACGGTGTGGATACCACGTGCTAGCTGTGGTTCCCTCCTTCATAATCCGTCAGGACTTTACACAGGTAATGCATTTTTTGTGACCTCCAGTACACACGTGCCTTACTATCAACTGTTAGTTTGTATCCCTCAGCCACATGTCAAGCTTCGTCCCTCATCCTTTCGATGATGGCCCTCCACCGAGCTACCCAGGACGCCCCCAGCACCCCGAGACGAACCTCGTGATCAGTGAAATACTACAAGTCGCCGTGAACAGTATGTGGCATCTATCTTCACCGATGATTTCCCAAAGCCATTCTGGCGACATTTTACTTCGTCATTACTCTGCTGTTTCGTTTCGCGACAGACTTGGTACCAGACCGGCTCGATAATACCCTTCCAGTCTTGGGTGAGGCGGCAAGCCACCCAGAACACTCTCAGGACCCAGGAGAGACACAGCTCAGTGGAGTGCAACAAGTCGTTATTACCGGTATGTGATATCTATCTCTGATCAGCACGTATTGACAACTTCCCCCAAGCCATTCACGCAACTGATCTGACTCTTGGTCTTCGACGGATTCCCGCTGGCTTCCATGTGGTAGTAACGGTTGATGGTGCTGAATACCAGACAAGCAACAAACCTATACACGTAAATCAGTCTGCCATCGAATGGAACGAGTGCATACTTCTGTAAGTTGTCATTGATCCCGTCTTTCCTGCAGGCATTGAGAAGGACTCTAGGCCATGCGAGCCATCTTTCCAAGTTCGGGTCAGCGCGTATGCCTCATTTGAAATGGATCCCATACTCTGTCATGGAGAAGTCCTCCGCACATTCGAGATATCCGTGGGAGAATTACTGGATCGCAGTGAAAAGTCACGTCGTCAGTAACGTCTGTTGTATCACGCCTGACAGATTTTGACGAGTATCAAAGCTATAATCTTTCAGCCCAAGCAGGAGGAAGTCATATCCCCGTGCACTTCACTGTTTATAAAAGTGGAGCAGCGACGATCTGATGACAACAACGCCGCAGTTCTTGAACCGCTTACTGCCGTGAGTGATCAATGCCAGTCTGATATACTGACGCCGAGTGCTTGTAATGCGTAGCTTACGTCCGGCGACATGCCCGCGCTACTAAGGACGGACGCCGGACGTATTCTTCTCGCACGATACCTAAGGACACAGGACACTAAGGATCTCGACCAATCTATAACACACTTCGAATGCGCATCTGATCTGTGCCCCATGGATCATCCCTGCCGCCCTGCAGCACTGTTCAATCTAGCGGCGGCAAAGTTTGTTAGTTGCCAAGTTGGTGGGACATACCTCAACCTAGACATCTCCATCTCTCTTTTTCAAGACGCCCTTGACTTGCGTCCGACTGGTCATCCTGACCGACCGCTCACTCAGCTCCATCTTGCTATTGCTCTGCTGTCTCGTTGCGCGAAACGGGGATTTGAAACGGATGCTGATGCAGCCGAAGAGTTACTGAGTGAAGTCGTCGATGTTTGCCACGCTAACAGCCACATTTACAGAGCAGCTTTACTTGCAATCGAGACATTTGCTCTGCATCTAGCTGGAGGCATGGATGGACACGATCGTGGGCAGAAGCAGGCCGCCGCATCCAAGCTTCCGTTATCGCCAAATCAACTTGGTCGTCGTGTAGAGCGGTGTTTGCAGAGAGATGATCCCCATGACTTAGATGAAGTGATCTCCCTTCATCACGATGCACTGCGATATTACGACGCTATGCATGGTTGCCGAGGGCAGTTGGTATGCAATCTGGGCGGAATGCTGCAAACTCGTTTTGAGCGTCGATGCAATAGCCAAGACCTAGACGAGGCCATCACGCGTCTTCGGGAAGCGCTGGATTTGTGCCCAGTCGGTCGCGCAAATCGATCTATGTCATTAAATAACCTTGCGAATGTGCTCTCTACTCGCTTCGAGCACCGAGGCAATGACCAAGACTTGGATGACGCTATCATGCTTCACGGGGATGCGCTTGCTTTACATCCAGTCGGTCACCCATATCGGTCCTCATCATTAAATAACCTTGCCAATGCGCTCTCTGCCCGCTTCAAGCACCGAGGGAATGACCAAGATTTGGATGACGCCATCATGCTTCACAGGAACGCGCTGGCTTTACGCCCAGTCGGACACCCAGATCGGTCCATGTCATTAAATAATTTTGCCACTGTTCTCTCTACCTGCTTCAAGCACCGAGGGAATGACCAAGACTTGGATGACGCTGCCATGCTTCACAGGGACGCGCTGGCTTTACGCCCATTCGGTCACCCACATCGATTCTCGTCATTAAATAACCTTGCGAATGTGCTCTCTACCCGCTTCGGGCACCGAGGCAATGACCAAGACTTGGATGACGCTATCATGCTTCACATGGACGTGCTGGCTTCACGCCCAGTCGGTCACCCAGATCGGTCCTCGTCATTACATAACCTTGCGGATGTGCTCTCTACTCGCTTCGAGCACCGAGGCAATTACCAAGACTTGGATGACGCTATCGTGCTTCACAGGAATGCAGTAGCTTTACGCCCAGTCGGTCACCCAGATCGGTCCATGTCATTAAATAACCTTGCGACTGTGCTCTCTACCCGCGTCGAGAACCGAGGCAATGACCAAGATTTGGATGACGCTATCATGCTTCACAGGAACGCATTGGCTTTACGCCCAGTCGGTCACCCAGATCGGTCCATGTCATTAAATAACCTTGCGACTGTGCTCTCTACCCGCTTCAAGCACCGAGGGAATGACCAAGACTTGGATGACGCTATCATGCTTCACAGGGACGCGCTGGCTTTACATCCAGTCGGTCACCCAGATCGGTCCCCATCATTAAATAACCTTGCATCTACGCTCTCTACCCGCTTCAAGCACCGAGGCAATGGAGAAGACCTCCACGAGTCACGAGACAATCTCCAATGTGCGTTGACTCTCTTGACGCAACACAGTCCTCGTCAATTACAGGTCCATCAGTTACTAGCTACCGTCTATATGTTGTTCCATCAATCGGGACTTGACGGCACTGGTGAAGACAATGACAGTCTGGATTCCGCCATGCATCATCACAAGGCAGCAGCAAATGTTGTCTCTGGAGGTTTGCTGCCTCGCCTGCGAGCGAACCTATGCTGGATTGAGCTTGCTCATGAACATTCACATGGTACTGAATTGGAGGCTTATGCGACTTCCATGCAACTTCTGGACGCTTACATGTCCGTGACAGCTTCAGTATCGTCCCGTCACAACGTCATGAAGCATTTTCCACGTATGCTTGCCGTGGATGCTGCATCATGTGCTCTTCGTAGCGGTGATGTGTGTCGCGCTGTCGAGTTGTTGGAACAAGGCAGGACTGTCATTTGGACCCAGATGACACGACTCCGCACGCCTCTTGACGGCCTCCAAGATCGCGGCGATCATGCAGTGGCCCTGATGAAGAAATTCAGGTACCTCAGCTCCCTCCTTGATGCACCTCCTACGAATCATCCAGAAGGAACCCCAAGAGTCAAAGTAGAAGCAGAAGGAAGCCGGTACCGACGTCTAGTGGAGGACTGGAATAGAGCTGTAGAAGATATTCGGAAGATCGAGCATCAGGAAAATGTGCGGTGCCTATGCGAGCCTATGTAGCCTATGTAGGCATATTAGTCCAGTAGGTAAGTCCCGGATATGTAGGAAGGCCCTGTATAGCATGGGCCTATGATAGGTGCAGTAGGCATTTTAGTCGTAGGAATAGGCCTTTGATAGGCAGAGGAATTGGTCATTTATCCCACTATTAGGCCACCTGTATCCGGCCCTCAGAATTTACAGCCGCGGAAAAACATTCAAAATAAAAAAAATTCATTGCAATGGTACATTGGTACCTCAACACGATAGATACAACTACACTCCATCGTCCTCCGATTCTGACTCGCGATATTCCCACTCTGCAGCCGCCGCTGTGAATTCGTCCATCGTGAAATGTTCAATGGGACCTAGGGCAATGGGATCATCGGGAATGCTAGCATGACGACTAGCGCGTGATAGTGAGAGACGTGAATGACATTGAAAACTGATTTTACTTACCGGGCATGCTTCAAAAGCCTTTTACAGATTCTCGCGACAACGCCCGCGTGCTTGGTGCCTTCGTGAAAGCGGACCAATAGGTCATAATGCGCCTGGAAAACGGCTGCGTATTGCTCCTTGTTGAATTTCATGAACACCCTCGTTCCAGAGGTCCACTCCATGACACATGCTTCCGTCTAAAAGAGTCACAGTCAGTCATTCGTGCCACGTCAAGAATCAGCGACTATCAGACTTACCGCCGTTAGCAATGCAACGATGATTCCCAATGTAGCCCCGCCAGTCTCTTCGTCCTTGAAATAGCTGGGATATCTGATCCCCATAGATCCTTTCTTGTCGTAACACCACTTTATCATCCCCTTCATGATGATGTCGGCCTCGAATGCTCCCTTGCACTGCTGCATCAGCAAACTACAACTTTTCCCACAGAAAGCACAAGATTTGTGTTCCCACGACAGCCAATCACAGATTTCACAGTTCCGCCAAGAGTCACAGCAAAACAGTGCTACAAGGTACACATTTGTTACAATCACTCACAGATTTCACAGTTCCGCCAAGAGTCACAGAAAAATAGTGCACCCAGGTATACATTTGTTACAATCACTCATAGTTCTACACGGCTCACAGGACTTTGCATTTGAAAGTCAAGGAGTTCAAGTCCGAATAGCTACTAGTAATATACCTAGTAATATCATTGAAATGTGAAGTCTATTTTATTTCGGACTATGGATGGACTTCAAACAATGCGGCAAAATCTAATTCAACACTGAAATAACAACAGCACAAAACACAATTTGTATATAGAACTGGAAGGGACAGCGAGCGCACAAGTAAGTATATGTATGCTAATACTAGTAGGACACAAGGTGAATATCTATAAATGCAAAATTGTACCAACTCTCGACCGTCCGTGGCAAACGAATTAATCAAGCTGGATAGTGAGAACGCGATCGTTTGGGACTTCTCTCATAGTAGCTGAGGGATTGATAAGGACGATAGTTGTCTCTCACAGATCATAAACTTACCGGTGCGCTGATCACCTTCACATTGTTTTGCAGATAAGGGACAATGAGACCAGCCATGCTGTCTGAAGGCAAGTCTCATACACCCCAGGCCCATGTCTGCATCATCTAGAGTGTTCTTTGCGGTATCCACTCGAAGCCTGAGCAAGCTTGCCAATACTTCATTTTCCCGTAGTAAACACTCCGCGAGTGCCTTCTGTGCCCGAAGTACTTCACGTTTGGCTCGTGCAAGGTCCATAACAAGGTTTGCTTCAGAATTGGCTGGTTTCTGTATAGACTGATAAAATTTAAGGCGCGTTATGAAAACGAGAAATAGACAATTGACTTTACCAAGGAAGTAATAGCTTGAAGAAGTTCGTAAGGGTCCATCCCGTGCGTCCCTGGTTTCGTGTCATCATGGTGTTGATGATGTGGATCGAGAATGTTGTCCACTAGGCCCGACGCCCTTGTTGATAATGCGCGCAGATTGATGGTCATGGTGTATTGAGTACAGTTTTCGGGAAATGCCGATATCACCCGATACTTACTGATATTATTATGATTTGTTTCTTAGTATGACTTATGTCGCATTCAAGCTGCCCCTCATGCGGCAAAGCGTTTAAAGACCATACTTCTGTTGCTCGTCATCTAAGCCAGCCTCGGTCTGGATGCAACACGTGGTTAGACGACATGATTAACTCCATTTCGCCCAGCCTGAGTGAAGATCATAACATGGACTCAGCAGATGACATCGATATTTCTAACAACGATCCGGGACTTGGAGGCGAGGAAAGTTTTCATGATTTCTATGGTGGAGGAGAAGAAGAGGATATACCTGAGGGAACTGCAGGTCATGAAGTGCGCGAAGTAACCGACTATTTCCAGAGCCTCCTCTGGCCTATGAGGATGGCTACACATTTTTGGGGCTGTTTGATGCAGACGAAAACAGTGTATATCGGAAAACGAATCTCTACTATCCGTTTAGCAGCCGAAGAGATTGGCAAGTTGCAGCATGGCTGCTACGTTCAGGCCTGAGCATGGGCAAGATTGACTCTTTTCTATCGCTTGAAATGGTCAGTGCGTATATCTCACTTTTATTGCTTATGATTCACGTCTTTTTAGATCAAGGATTTACCCTTGTCGTTTCACTCTGCCAAAGAATTACGCGGTAGAGCTGAGATGCTCCCCAGCGGTCCGCGCTGGAAGTCTCAAGTAATTCGTACATCGCATCCTACGAAATCGCCTGTAATTCTGTACTGGCGCGACCCTATTGAATGTATCGCCAGCATCTTCAACCACCCGCTATTTCAAATCATATCGACTTCACACCTCACAAGATTTACTCTACTGCAGAGAGGTTGTGTCGCGTATATGCTGGATGGATG